AATCAACAGTTTGTGGCTACTGATGATGATCTCTTCCAAGTTTGTTGTTGTTGGTGGGGATGTTCTAAAAATATTTTCTGCCTCCTCCTCCAGATCTGCTGATACCGCTGTCTTTTGGATGGGTGGTTTATTTTTGGCTACATGTACAAGGCATTGGCCATGTTGAGATCAGAAACACAAAGGGAATCATGAGAGTGGTCTTCTTAGGCCAGAAATTGACAATTGAAGGGAACAAGGTTCTCTTTGGATGGACACTTAAAGCTGCCTAAACATAATGGTTGAATTGCTTTTATGTGACCAAATGGTAAAATGATGTCTCCTTAGGGTCAGTCTAGTAATTCCAGGGATGTCACCATGCAGTTTAATAGGTAGTATGGAAATGTCTTGCTTTCTGTTGGAATAATGTTTCCAACTTCCCTGTTGGAGGTGCCCCCACCAGGCTGGGTTCCCTCACTAGGCCCGCTTAGTTTCCAGGCTCAGACAGGAAGTACGTGGATGTCACTTCTGGAAGTCCATTCTAGGCCTCGGAGGCCCAGGCCTGCATCCACGCAGAGAACTGGATGTTCATATATTTGAATCCCACCACTGGGCAAAACCCACTTAACAAATTTCCCACTTAGTAGTATAAATTTTGGGCTCAATTATGGTCATAAATCGAGGATTACCTGTAGGCTTTTAGCCCCTCAAAAACTTAGACACTTCTACCTGTTGTATGCCAACCATTGTTAGCAATCTTCAGTACATGTGCCATGATTTACATGGAATCTCTTAAAATAGAGGATGCCTTGAAAATACTTGGGTTTACAGATTATAGACCTAGAAGCATGCACTTAGCCTTGATTTCTTTATAATCACAAATGCTAATATGAAGTTGGAAGTCATAGAAGTTTATTCTTGTTTTGAAAGTCATTCTATTTTTCCTCCAGAAATGTTTCACAGCTTCACAGAAATGTTTATTGTTTTTGACTCTGCAGATTAACATTCAGAACATTAGTTCTGAAACATATCACTATAAGAAGGGGCATTAGTGAAATCATGAATCCCAAAAATAAATTGATTTCTCTTCCAATTCATTCTTAAAATTTAATATAATTGGTGTATCAAAATTCAGGAGACTTGCCCAGGCAAATGTAAACAAACTGTGACTTGGATGATGAAAATAGAGGGATTCCCACAATTAAATGGATTACTATCTGTCATGAAGGAATCCTTGTTAGTCTTAACACAATAATCCATTATGCTGGGTGTTTATAATTTGACAGCAGTTAAGTTTTTGTCTTTCTCCTTAGTTTTTGCTTGTTTTCCCCCCTTCACTGAATAGATAAATGTAAGCGAGACAGCTCTGTGGTGTTTATGAGCAAGAAAAGGCTGGACCAGCAGGGAACCTGAGGACAATTACGTTGGTTCATAAGAGAAAGAAAAATCTGCAGTTGGACAATGTATTTATTAGGCTGTTGAAGAGTTCTAAATCTTGCACATTTTGTGGCAGTTTGATTGTTGTTGAACAAGAGTGCCAAGTGGCTCATTTGTGCAAATTTATCAGTTGATTTTGAGAAACAGAGTGAGTAATCGTAAAAAGAAATATAAAGTAAGGGTAAATTGCAGCAATTTATACAACAATGTAAATTGTGTAGAGATTATTCTGGTCTTTTATGGAAGATTAATGTATTTATTGATGTCCACTTAGAAGACCATAGTGCTCGTGACAGTGGAGCATGGGTCTAAATCCCGATAGGAAAAGATCTAATTCTCAATCATATTTTTAATTTGGGTTTCCTGTGACTTTATTTAGCTGTATATATTTGCTCTACTTTGTCTCCAAGACAAATAAAGTGCCACGTGTGATACTGATCCTCACATAATCCCCCAAAATAGGTCATGCTGAAATTTTGTGATGGTTTAAAGTGGGGGTCTTCAAACTCAGCCCTTTTATGACTTGTGGACTTCAATTCCCAGAATTCCTTAGCCATGCAAGCTGGCTGAGGAATTCTGGGAATTGAAGTCCACAAGTCATAAAGGGGCCAAGTTTGAAGAGCCCTGGTTTAAAGTAAATCAATGAAAGAGTGAAGTTCTTTCTCAATCCTGTTCTTATTCTTTAATCTAGTCTAGGTTCAGCATACATTCACAGTACCAAATACTTGGGTAATTTATAATTTAGCTGGGTGGGTGAATCAGGCCACCCTGTTAAATCATATAGTTATTTGATGAAGGGTATCATGTGAACATAGACAATTGTGCACTTTTAAAATTGGGATTTATAAGTTAATATGTTGTATGAACCCAATCACTGCTAAAGACCTAATAATACGTTGAACAATGAACATACAATCACAATGGCTGGATCCACAGAATACAATGAGCCAAAAACCTAATAAATTACATTATGACTTTATGTGAATCAGTTTTAGGCTTCTACGTGCAGTTGGAGCCACTAGACATTTCTAGCATGGATACAAAACAATCTGAACTTCTCTAGTACACTGTCATAAAAGATGCTGGGTTTTTTCTGAGAAACCAAAAAATAAATACTATACCTTGTAGTGATGGTTGAGTCTACCTTCCACTACTGTAGAGTGTGAATGTATTCATAAAAAGCTATGAAAAATGATGCCGATAACCCATTCGTAGGATTAAGCCAAAATTTGAGTTTAAGAGCAAGACTGATCTGTGTTTAACTGTCTAAATTTGAAGATGTATGGATATGCATGGTGGCATGAAGAATTCTGGGAGTTGAAACTACCAAGTTGAGAAGCACAGCTCTGAAGAAAATTGCTTTGGTCTTTATTAGTGTTTTATGGTGATAATAAATAGATGAGAAGGACAAAGAAATCCTAGTTCCATCATCCTGCATCCTCAATCAGTAAGGCTAATGTGTGTTTTCCTAGCTGTGAAAACATTATTTACATGGTCTTTTTCTCCTCTTTTTCTCCTCCCTCTTCCAACACACAATTTCCATCTCTTTCTCCAGCATGTCTTTTACTGTAAATCTGACATTTCACAGCAAGTGGTCAAGAATGTGGATGTTGACGCCCAAAATCCTGGGATTAATTACACAATTATGCAGCAGTCTGGTCACAAATCACTCAGAATGGAACAATGGGAACTAAAGTAATTTACAACCATGATTGTATTGCAGAATTGATCTAGGTATCGTAAGTGTGATTAAATGCAACCCGCTGGAATCTTCTGCTCCTCGTAATGGCCAGTATATATAGAATAGCATGCTGTGATATTATGGAGAATATGTGTATTACTTCAGCCAATTGCAACATCTGTTAATGCTGTGGGAACTCTTTCACAATCAGTGTAATTCACATATTAAGCTACTCTACAAGCCCCTATTATAAGTAATATGATATATTTTCCCACTGGCTTTGATGCTGCAATTGGAGAGACTAGCTATAAAAGATGAGGAGAAAAAGTGGACACTGACGTTTCATTCCAAAGCATACATGTGTATGTGAGTGTGTGTTTGTGTGCATGTGTGTGTTCAGATATTCTTCTTAACCTTTCTTTTTCAAGATGCTTGTTTTCAATAGTTAGAATAGAATGGAATAGAATAGAATATTCTTTATTGTCCAAGTGTGATTAGACACACAAGGAATTTGTCTCTGATGCATAAACAAAGATCATAATAACAAAGTATTAATAAATAATGATACCAATAAAAGAAGGTAATGGAACAAGTGAGAATATATGGGTAAATAGACATAAAACTGACTTGTGGGATTAGGTGTTCAATAGAGTGATGGCATGAGGAAAAAAACTTGTGGCTAGTGTTTTGGCATGCAATGTCCTGAAGCAGCGTCCCAAGGGGAGGAGTTGAAACAGATTACGTCCAGGAATGTACATTTACTGACTACTTAATTACTGCATTGGGAGTGTGTACTGCAAAAATGAGAACTAGGACCCATTTCTGATGTTTCCCTGGAGTTTGCGGATAAGATGTAAAACATAACGTTAGTTGTGACCTTGGAAAATGAGCACAAGTCTCTTGAGTTTGGTTTGGGTTTTTTTTTTTTTTTTGACGGATGTTTACGGGATTATCTGTCTACGCATCACAGCAAAATTGTATGTAACGTGCATTTCAATTAAGACACCCCGTCTGGGTTGCTTAACAACGGAAAACTACAATTCCCAGGTTTCTTTCGAGAATCAACGATCTCCGTTTTGTTTTTCCGGCAGTTAAGGCTTCCATAGAAACGGCTTTTTAAGGCTTTAACGCTGGTATGTCCTGCGCTTCCTTGAGTTACCTCCGTTCCCCCCCCCCCGCTGTGTGCATGGAGAGGGCAACGACAAAAATTGATCTATTAATGGCGAGTCGGTTCGGTCTCTTTTAAGCTTCGGTTTCCTTTGTCGCAGCTCAAGCAACTCTGTTGCGAAATCCTAACGATCACAATTCCAAATGTACTGTTCAGCGATTGTGCGTCAGGCGTTTAAGGGTATATAGAGCATAATTCTCTGAGGTTTATGCTGGAATAGGGCTGCAAACCTACAGCTCTATTTACCTGATCCTCAGAAGCTTTCTTCTGGATTTAAAAGGCATAGGATCGCAGCGTGCATTTTAAGGCGCTGCAACAAGCGTCTTAGTGCTTTATATTTTCGAATGCAAATATTCGGGAGGTTTTGATATGCCCTCCCTCGCCCTCCCCCGTTGCTAAACTTTGCGCAGGATTTCTAACGCGCTGCTCCTATTGAACAGCTAGGTGTCCAACCTTGGCCGCTCTAAATCTTGTGGACTTCAACTCCCAGAATTCCCTGGGAGAATGGGGAATTCTGGGAGTTGAAGTCCACAGGGCTTAATGTTGCTAAGGTCGGCAACCCCTGTTGTACAGCGTTAGGAAAGCCTTCGTAAACTCGAGCTGGCGGGAAAATACGGCGCAAAATCCTCAACGGCTCTCCTGAGCAAAGTCGCTGCCAGAACAATTTTCCCGAGCCTAGAGGCGCCTCCTGGAATTTTCCTTTTTTTTAAAAAAAAAAAATGTTTCTTTTCGGGATGCTGCTGTTTTGCCAACAAGGGAAGTCACCGCTGGTCTCTCCTCACGTAGCCTGTGACGTGGCCAGCAGGGCGTACGTTGCTTTCTTCCGTGTCTCCGCGCGCGGTCCTTTTCTCTCCGGTTCTTGGGACGTTTCCAGACACCTGAACTACCCGTCCCCACCGCGGTCGCAGCTCCTTTAAGGGTATAGCGCCTTGGCCCTGCTGCAGTCCTTTGAGCCATGCTTTGCGCGCCTCCATTGGCCGCTCCGCTTCGCATCCCTCCACCCCTAATCGAGCCTTAACCAACCGCTGCCCTTGCGCTTGTATCAAAATTCGGAGCGTACCAACGCGGCCCCCGAGAAAGGGGGAACACTTGGAAGCAACCAATAAGCGGGCGCTGATCCCCGCGCCTTGGCTGAGCGTGTTCCCGCTCCACCCGCAGAAGAGCATCGCCTGGCCCTTTAAGGAGCAAAGAGCAGGCTTCTCCCTCCCGCGTGTCCAGCGGAGGATAACCGCGGCCAAGGTGTGTGCGATTGCTTGGCGGCGCGGGGCGGCTGCTCTGGAGATTGCACTGCCTCCCTTCCATCGCCCGCCGGGCGAGGACAGCCTGGAGCGCTCCTAACGCCAAAGCGGAGCAAGGAACGCCGAATCCCCGGGGCGCCCGCGCGCGCTCTGCGGTGGGAAAGCAGCCGCCGGAGCGACCCGCCATCCTGCAAGCGGACTTGCCCGGGATTCAACTTTCCCCGCGCCAGGCGCCGGTCATGAGCGGAGGGCAAGTACGGGAGGCTGCGGTCTACCGGCCGGAGGGAGGGAAAGAAGGACGGGCGGGAGGGGCGGGACTGTGTCCCCGCTGGCTGGCTTCCATCCCCGGCGATTAGAAGCCAGCTTTGGCTGGCGGTGAGCTGGCATCGGCCACTCTGCCGTTACATTCGTGTAAGCTGTCTTTGCATTGCGTGGGAAAGGTGATCGGGCGGCCGAGGCTGTCCTCCGCAGGGCAGTTTCGATGCCGCTGGCTCGGGCCCCGAAGGGTTACCTTGCAAGCGAAGAAATGGGGATTATGGAGAGGTTGATTTTCTGGGAACGGGAAGCCCTCCTCGCTCCCCTCGTTCCTTCCCATACAGGAGAGCAGCGCCCTCCCTCGGTACTCCCTGAAGCCGAGCCTTCCCCTTCGGACCTGGGGGGCTGCCGGAGAGAAAGCGCCGGGGGGGGGGGAAGGCTGCAGCGCCTGGTTCATTCCCGACCCCCTAAGGAGGGAGTGGGATTTGCACAGGCGGTATTAATTATTCCATACGGCATTGCCCTTTGTAGATTATGCCGATCTGGGTAATCCAGGTTTCATTAAACTCGGCGGCTTCCAAATGGGTTTACCTCACAATGAATATGATGTACAGGTAGCCTGCCGGGGGAGACAGGACGAATTGTAACCGTGCGTATTTCGTGCCAACGAGGGCGAAGAAAGCTGTAGCCCTCGACGGATCGTTTTGAAGCTCCCCACCCCCCCACCCCTCCGTGCCCCTTGCTGCGTTCACGCTGGCGGAAGGAGAGCCTTGAGATGCAATGGGCAGTGTTGAATTTCTAAGTTGTTGATCTTGACAGTCTAAAATCCACCCAGTGTGTAGGCTGGCCAAGAGAAAGCAATTTTGCCCTTACTGTATATGTCTTGGAGATAAGTGGTGATTTGGAGAGCAACAGGGTCATTCTGTCTCAAAAACACTGGACTCTTGTCTGGGGAAAAAAAGTCGATTTTGCAATCTAGTATCATTCCTTGTTAGGCGAATATATTAGTCCCTTAGGATAAGAGTGGAAGGAGTTCCAAGTTTGCAAATTCTGCATCCTTTCCTCCAGGACTCTGAGCCCAACAGTAATAGCTGATTGCAAAATGTATGCATGTGAAGAGCCCAGATAGTTAGAAATTGTCCTTGCACACATTGTGGTTGTTGATTGGAGCTGCCAAAAACCTGTGACAGTCTGCTGTATGGCAGGCATCAACCAGTAAATCCAGAACCACCACCTGTGTCCCGTTGCTCCCCATATGCCATTTCAGCCCATTTTGCTGGGTGAAAAGGTGATCTGGTGCCAAGGGTTGTAAGGCAGAGCAATTATCTCCAAGTTGAGCTTAGGCTGGATTTGTGAGCATGCTAAATCCCGTGTGGGGTTAGTTGTGGCTAAAGGAAAGCCAAAAGAAACAAATGGAAAACAGCCTACATTTTTTTTTAGTGGTGAAGTCTTAAGGGAAGATAAATCAGTTTTACTTGTGAGTGGTCTTCCAGGGACAGAGTCAAGTTTAGAACTTAAATGGATTTTGGAATTGCTCTAGAAAGCTCAGCAACCTTTTCCCAAATGATTTCACATGCAATTGTTTGAGCAGGATTTATTGATGGGTTATCTTGCTTCAGTATAAAATGAGAGATGAATAATGAACTGGTAAACTGTTTCACCTCTCTTATCTAAAGCAGGTCTTTTGGATTAGACACAACTCATTGCTTTTTCTACTTCCTGGGATTATTTTATGTATTATGGTCCACTGTTTACTCCAGGCACTCCTTAGATCAGTGATGGCAAACCTTTTAGAGACCGAGTGCCCAAACTGCAACCCAAAACCCACTTATGTATCGTCGGGTGCCGGGTGGGCGTGGCCCATTGGGTGGGCATGGCTACAGTGGTAACAGCAGACTGGGTGGGACTAAAAAGTTCAATCAATCAATTCCAACTTTGCGAGATTTTTTTTTTACCCGCGAGACGTTGAAATTGATTGATTAATTGAACCTTTTTTTTGCACATGGCAGCAGAGGCCTAAAGCAAAGAGGTTTTATAATATCCATCTGAAGGCCTAGGACTGGGGCGACAGTGCGCGTGCCCACAGGGAGGGCTCTGCGTGCCACCTGTGGCACGCGTGCCATAGGTTCGCCACCACAGCCTTAGATTATACTTAAAGCATCTTTCGCCAGGAGAAGTGTAAATCTTTCCATTCACATCGACCTGCAAATAAAAAAAAAACCCTGGTTTCTGCTATGCCTGTGTGTTACTTTGATATGCCTGGAGGAGATGTCCTTTGGGAGGCAAAACTCTTCATCAGGTTTCATTGAGTCAGGTGTTAGTTGTACATTAACTGTGAAGTGAAGGAGGGGATCAGTTGCTGCCATTTTTCTTTAGCAAAAAACTACCTCTGAGTCATTCAGAAGAATGATGCCCAGTACTGATGTCAGTCTCTAAAATGCCTGTTGGATTTTCAAGTATCATCATGTTCAGAACTGATAATATATAGTGAGGAATTTCTGAGTGACGTTCAGAATGGGAGGGAAATATTTTTCAGTAGTACATATCTACATTTTTCAGCTAGGATTTAGAGCAATATTACGTGTATGGATTGTTGGACCTGATTTTCAATAGATGTATCAGCGCCCAGTTGATTAAATAAGTATTCTTCAGTTCAGTAAGTATATCTCTTAGGAGTACAGGTAATGGATGCTAGACAGGAGAAAAGGCCATCATCCATTTTCCCAGGTATATACAATCTCATCCTGACTCAGCTATGGCTGCAGAATTGTACAGGAAGTCCTTGCTTACTGACTGCTTTGTTTCATGACTGTTTGAGGTTAAAAAACCTTTGCAACTTATCCTTGTAGCAATAGCACTTAGACTGCTTTACAGCACTCTGAGTGGTTTACAAATGTCAGCATATTGCCTCTAACAATCTGGGCCCTCATTTTATCGACCTCAGAAAGATGGAAGGCTGAGTCAACCTTAATAATAATAATAAATAACGTTGGAAGGGATCTTGGAGGTCATCAAGTCCAACCCTCTGCTCAGGCAGGTAACCCTATACCATTTTGGACAACTGGCTGTCTAGTTTCTTCTTAAAAACTTCCAGTGTTGGAGCATTCACCGCTTCTGGAGGCAGGTTGTTCCACTGGTTAATTGTTCTAACTGTCAGGAAGTTTCTCCTTAGTTCTAGGTTGCTTCTCTCCCTGATTAGTTTCCATCCGTTGCTTCTTGTCCTGCTTTGGAAACTAGCTTGACTCCCTCTTCTCTGTGGCAGCCCCTGAGATATTGGAACACTGCTATCATGTCTTCCCTCGTCCTTCTCTTCATTAAACTAGACATACCCAATTCCATCAACCTTTCCTTATATGTTTTAACTTCCAGCCCCTAATCATCTTTGTTGCTGTTCTCTGGACTCTTGAGTCGGTCAGGACCAAACTCCCAGCAGTGGGCAGAGTTAGCCTGCAATACTGCATTCTGACCACTGTGCCACCAGGGCTCTTTACAACCATCACAGCGTACCGTGGTCATGTGATTGCCATTCAGATGCTTTGCAGCCAGTATGCATTTACGACCACTGCAGCATCCCACAGTCATGTGATTGCCATTCTTGTTCTTCACAACAAGCAGAGTCAGTGGAGAGCCAGCAGTAAAATTGCAACTTGCATTGATTTAATGCAGGCATATGAAATTTGCGACGTCACGTGACTTATTGTGACTTCTTCCCCATTGCTGGCAATGGGGTGGGTGCGGTTTTGGCTTGATACATCTGGTCCGCGGGCCGGCAGTTTGACATGCCTGATCTAATGTTTCACTTAACAGTGAAGTGGGAAGAGACGTTGTAAGCCTATTGCGGATGCATGATTTTTCACTTGGTGGCCCTAGAACTTAGCGAGAGAGTTGTGACCATCTTGTGCCAACTGTGGTTGCTAAGCATGAATTACCTGTGAACTCAGACACCCAATTTGAAGGGATTTTTCATTTGCCTTCCTTTCAGGGCAAGGAAATCTCCAAATCATGATGCTCCTGTGGAGCAGAATTGTGCTTTGGTCTCCCCCTCACTTTAAATCCCATTTTGCAAAAAGTGTTACCCCAGGGAGAGGAGAAATATGCTTGAACAGACTCAGATTGTGTTCAGATATCCAGCTTTGAAATCACAGACCTTATGCAATCATTATTTCCAGTAGAAGCTATCTTTCAGGGTCATTGCAGGGATACATTGAATAGGGGAAGAACTGTGGATGTGCCCTCAGGGTGAGATGTTTGCAATTAAATGCATTTTTCATATTTTGACTCATACATACAGTACATAATTGGGATTTGTAAAATGTTTTGAATTTGAAACGCCTCATTTTTGAATGTGCGACAATTCAAGCAGTTCTATTTCACTACACTACTTACGTTGATTCTTAGTGTTTTATGCCCCCTCCCTTATTATATAACACTTACGTGTTGATGGTGAATTCCCCTGGCTTATTTACTGCTGGCAGGTCAACTTTAATATATCAGTTAGCACGGTGTATGTAATAAGTGCTTGAATACGATGGTGTATTCACTGAAAACTTACATGTGCGTGATCTGTCTTAACTTTTTTGGGAGTAATAATGTAGCCCATATATGCTCTTATCTCTGCTTTATTGGAGATATCTTTTTCCTCTCTGAATTGGAGGAAGGCCATCTACACTCTTAGCTGTAGAAGGAAATAATGGAAAAGGAGGTTTATTTGTGAAATTACTTTTGCATACCATCCTTCATTCAATGCACATAAGGCATCTTTCTCTTCTTCCAGCAACCTTGTAAGACTCTTAAAATTTAATTTATGTCTCCACTGGCATTCAGTTTTGCAGAGGAGAAAGATATGGACCCCAAATCTCCACATACCGTTTCAGCTGTGAGGATTTTGATCATAGAGTTGATCTCCTAGATCTGTCTCTCTACTCTGCTGGGAGGTCAATGCCACTCTATATCTGGGAATGGTTTTGTAATGTATGGGTCAGGGGTGCATTCCCCCCCC